TATATATATATATATATATATATATATATAACATATAGGGTTCCCATTTTGCAGTATCTGTTAGATATTGGAGCTTGGCCTGTTTTTTTTCAGTGTAGTACTGTTTCTCTGACCCTGACTAACTGTATAAGATAAGACAGACTTTATTGATCTCACAGTGGAGAAATTCACTTGTCACATTGACTCAATAGTCAAGTGATTTATGTGCGCTCTTTCATCCTCTGAGGTGGGGGCTGGCTCAGAGCTCATCTGCCGGATTGTGTGTTTCCTAGATGGAGCCGCCTGTGGAGTTGGTAACAGTTACCTGACTCCTTCTGTCTCCTTGAACTGCAGTCGGCCTAGGCAGATGAGAGAACCTAGACAGATAACAGAACCAGCCTCACACTGAGCCTGGTTCTGCTGGAGCTTTCTTCCTGTTAAAAGGGAGTTTTTCCTCTCCACTTTCACTACAAGCATGCTTAGTGTAAGGGATTGCCTTTGAGTCAATGAGTCGAAGCAATCAGCTGATTTTCCTTAGATAGAAAACTGTGAACCAAACTGACGGTATGATCGGGTATGATCTGGGTTAACAAGACGGTATGATCCCTGACTTGAATGACGTGTTTGTAAATTGGGGCTATAAAAATAAACTGAATTTAAATTGAAACTTAGACTGGTTTCTTAGCATGGACCGAAAGTTAAAGCATAATCTATCATGAGGACTATTCTACTAGCTTGTATCAGTCTGGTTCAGTCGTTCAAAAAAAATCTATATGTATGTTTGGTACTAACAGTGGCTATGATAGAAAAACAGTACATCAGTATGATACTACCACTACTTTATTTTAAAATGGGACAATGGTTGGTATAAGAGCTGCAAAGTGGACAGTAAAACTGGTGGTCTGCTAATGTATATGAGAAAAAAGAAAAGGTATAATACTTTGCATCCTGGATTGTTCCTGAACCTTTCAAATATTTGTCTTATATCTGAGGAAGACTGTTTTAAAAACACATGTTTCATAATGCCAAAGGCTAATTCAATTCAGTTCAATTCAATTCAAAAATACTTTAATTCCAAAGGGAAATTAAATGTTGCAGGAATTCTTTGGATTTATTGAGACCCGTAAATACACCACAAAACATGCTTCAAATGGAAGCAACCTGAATTTAACTCAGTTTTTCTGAAAAGGATTCAACATCCATCCCAAAGCCTATGCCAATTCTCGCAGCTAATACTAAAGCAACCTGGAGCAGGAGGGCAGATGCAAAACAATGATGCAACTGTCGTTCCTCAGGGTTGTTGGAGTCTGTTATTTGGTATTTGTAACTGGCCATACATTAACCTGAAGAAAAACTTTAAAGAATGAATCCACTCATAGTCTCATTATCTTGTAATGACATAAACATAAATTTTAACATTATAGCAATCTAAGCAAACACAATGTTAGACCTCTTTTTGCACAGAACACCACGTCTGTCTCCAGACCGCAAAGCTCAGGTGTACTTTTACTCGGGCTCAACCAAGGCCACCTTTCTTTTCCCATCAGCTGAGGAAGTCCAAGAGAATCGGTGTCAGTGCCAAAGGCCGACGCTATTGTGATGTGTAAATTTGTGTGCGATTGCGTGCATGTATGCCTGCAAGTGTGAAAGAAATGGTGGATGTGGGTGTGAGAGAAAAAAAAAGAAATAACAAAGTGGCGTGTGAAAATGTGTATATTTGACCTAGTGCGTGCATTTGTGTTATGGTTGGGGTTTGAGAGGCTGTATGAGAGACTTAGATTGCGTGTGTTGGATGAAATGAGAAAACACCACTTCCTCTTCGCTGGTTGAAAAGTACGTGTGAGGAGCAGGGATGGTTTGTGTGCGTAAACTCTGTGCGTGTATGTACACAGCTGCAGTTTGTGTTTGAAAAGAGCAAAAGAGTGGCCACTTCCTTTTCATGTGTTATAAACCCAAATGAAGTCAGGAAGCCCATGATGAGAAATAACCTGCTTGGATGTCTACCAGTGTGGGAGATGTTTGCAAGTATTTTCTGTGTCAGCGCTGATCTTCACACGTATATGTGTTGGTGTGTTTGTCTGTGACATTTTTACATCTAGATGGGAAAGTTTTCAGCAAACCAAACCAGTCTGTATTGGTCTAAATGTAGAAAATGTATGACGCCGCAGAATGAGTCGAATCGGTCCAAGCTGACTCAGAGGAGTTATGTATATCACTTAATATACTTTTAAACACCACCCCCATGGTTTTTCATGCTTCCATCTATGTTCCTGTCCAGGCAGCTAAACGAAAACTTATATATATATATATATATATATATATATATATATATATATATATATATATATATATATATATATATATATATATGTATATATATATAATGATAAATTACACTAGTATTTCAGATTACACAAAACTGAAAAAAGTGATAATAAATAAAAATAACAAGCTAACAATGAACCAACATAGCTGTCAACAGTTGTAGCAGTCTGACCGAACATTTGCTGAACATTAAAGAAAACACCTAATTTCAGTGATTGTCTCAAAATGGCTTTATAAAATCTTATTTCAAGAGCTCTTTTAGGCCTTTTTACTTATTTTATTTTTTATTTATTTAGTCAGTTTCAGTTTATTTCCCTGGCAGCAGTTTCATTTGTCTTTAATAGATAGATAGATAGATAGATAGATAGATAGATAGATAGATAGATAGATAGATAGATAGATAGATAGATAGATAGATAGAT